CAAGTTTTTAATATTGCAGAATTTTTGCAGAAACTATACATTATTGCAGACGGAATTTACCTTTAATCACCGCAGAAGATCATCGTCCCTGGTCGAGACTCCTGACAGGCTCGTGTCGTGATTGACAAAAATTTGCGCGTTATTATTGGATGGATTACACATGTTCACCAGGCTTTAGTGGTCATAAGAATAATAACGATAACATACGGTAACGGTCATAATAATTGCACCCATCTAAAACACATAAAAATAAAGCAAAATAAAATAAATAAATTTTTTTCTTTTAAAGGAATATTAATTTATTAATGCCAAAATTCAGCCTTTTAAGTTGTTCATGAATTTTTTAACAAACTTATTGGGAAGATAATTTCTTTTACTATATGCATTACAACCATTAATAATTAATAACCAATTAATTAGAGATAATTACTATTGATCTGTGGAGTTTTTGCCAATGGAAAATTGATTTTGTCAAAAATTAATACATGTACTAGAAAAAAAATTGGTCACTTTGCAAATGGATATCTTGATATTTAATAATCCAATTCAGAAATAAATGCTATCATTTAATTCATCTTGACTGGTGGTATTTGGCTGAGATATTGTATTACGAATCATTTTTTTTGATCGACAAAAAAATGATTCGGTCTTTGTGATACGATATCTCAACATACAGTGACCCCGATTTGGATGAAAAGTTAACATACAATTTTTCTCATCAAGATGAATCGAATGGTACCATTTTCACATAAATCAGATAATAGAATATTAAAATATTGGATCATAAAACAAAGATCAGTATCATAAGTAAAGAAAGTTTATATAAAATCGGATATAGACATGCTATAAGGATATAATAACATAGAGAATCAGGGTTTGTGTTATTCTTTATGTTTCAAACATTTTTACAGCAAATTTGGAGGAGCAGTTACTTATGACCGCTACTGTAAATTTTCAATAACATGATCAAGAATGCTTTTAATAGAAAATCTAGCATGTGTTATACATATAAAGTACAATATTCGATTAAGCATTTTTAATGAATTGATACTTGTAATTCCGAATTAATTGCCAACAATGTCAAATAAGTTAAATTAAGTTTCTAATGGATAATTAATAATTAACAGCTTATTCAATGAGTTAATAAGATTAGTAAGTAAACTTGAATGATTTTATGCAAGCACATATTTTTATATGGTTATCGTTCTCATTCCTTATGTAGTATGAAAATGCAAGTTATAGTTAGTTCAAAAAAAAGGGTCTATGAATTACTGTTACTGTTCATGAACAAATCATCATCAAACAGAAATTATCCTGACTTTACTTAGAATATATTGGGTCACTTTTAAGATGTAATTGGTGACGCATCACTAGTATCTTTGTATTCATCCAATGAAAACCATTAACTCTGAGTTTTAGATTACTATAAATAAAATTGTCTATGTTTTGTATTGTATTGTTATGAAACTTTGTTATCCTGTACGTCACATATCTATGGCTTTCATCTTTTATTTTGTTACGATTTGTTATTAATCCATAGTGGATTTTTAGCAAACTGGTCCCAACTGCTTATTATTGCCGCAGAAAATAAATATTGTAGTGACTAATTTAGCAAATGATGTACGAGGTTAGTGAGTGGGAAGCATAAAAATTTTTTTCCCTTGCTAGGCTGCAACATCGCTTATCAACAGATGAGACTCGTGTCAGTGTTACTATACGTTAATTAAATATCACGATAATAAAAATGGCAAGAACAAAAAGAAGGTTTAAGTTTTCCCTTTTAAATGGTAACAAAAAGAAAGCTATATAAGTAAAATAGAATCCACTTTTTTTCAATATAAAGAGAGCGTTTTTGACTTCTGAAATCGAAAATAATTTATAAATAATAAAACTAAATTTAATACAAACCAGAAGTCTTGAGTTCGCTATGATCAAAATCACTTCTCATCGTCCTTCGAGTTCCTCCTCCATTCCTGAATATGAGAAACTAAAGATAAAAGTTCCATTTCCGCCAGACATCAAAGCAGTAGACTTGGTTCGTAAGCGAAAAACTTTTGAAAGATCAATGAAACCGTCGAATGCATTCATTATTTATCGCGGGCAATATTTGAAACAGTTGCATCGATTAGGATTTAAACCTGACATGATACAAATTTCAAAAAACGCTGGCAGAGCGTGGAAGGCTGAGCCAAATGATGTAAAAAATTGGTATGTTGAGTTTGCTGAAGTTGCGGGGAAAATGATGATGCAGGAACACATGAGATTTGTTGCGCTAGATAAAAAAAATTGGGTTGAATGGAATGGCGTGCAAAGATATAAAGCGCGACCGATAATTTCAGAAAGTCAGAAATCTAAATTTTCAAAAACTACTCAGAATAATCATTTGATAAAAACACCAGAGGCATCGAGTCTGTCGAGTCTGTCGAGAGGATTTGAATATGAAGCTTTTAATAATTCGCAAAAAACACGCGAATTTTATCAAAATTGGCCAAACGTTAACGTTACGGATAATAGTAATAATTATCATCAATATTACAATCATTATACCAATTCAGTGGATTTTCGTGGTGGAGCTTACACTCATTATATCAATTCTTTATCGTCATCGCTATCGAATCAAAATCATTTAATGTTCCTTTCTCAACAAAATACTTCACCTCCTCAAATCGATAATAGTGAACTGCAAACAGAGCAAGCATTTAGCTTTAGCAACACTCAAATAACTGAAACTATTTGAAGTAGATACTGTATATGCACTTTTTTCCATTATACATGTACATATTTTTTTTCTACGCATAAAACAAATATCATGAAATTATCTTTTCAATTTTTTTTTTTTCGATTGACATGTTTCAAGGTGAATTGAGTATATGTATTTTTTTCTTATTTTCAGCAAATTTTCATTCATTGAAATACAGGAATTCATTCACTAATGAATTACATGTACATGTGCTAGCTATCTAAAGTTGACTGCAACATCGATTCCTTCAAGATGATAAAGTTATTGTGTCACCTACGACTGCTTTAAAGAGCAATTTTTGGGTACCGATTTCTTTGACCAGAAATCAGATTGATAAGTTTGCATAAAGCTAGCTATCTTTGAGTATGAAAATTATAAGTTTACTTAAATATAATTAAACTAGGATAGTTTTATTTTTTGTAGTTCGAAAAATAACACATGTATAATATAATATTTCATAAAATTCAGGTGATGACCTTTTCATTGTTGACTAATGTTGTGCTTCGATCATTTCTTTTCTATTAATATGAGAGGGGGTTAATTATTTAAGGTTACCTTTTCCATTTTATCTTGTATTTTTCTATAAAATTAGTAAATGATTACATGTAAAAAATGAAACTGCTGTCACACATGTCGAATAACTATATGTACATGTATTATACATGAACCATCCAGTACCTGAAACTCAAATTGTAGTCTTATTAAATGCAATATTTGAAAAATACTTTTTTTGTATATACCTTTTTTGTCTACTCTCTACATTTTGTCAGACAGTTACGTTGTAATACATGTACATTTTTCTCGTTAATTACCATACAATTATTTAATAAGGAAAAAGATTAACACCGATAATGGGACATCATTCCTAATCGTTATCATACTGATTACAAATTCAATAATGAAAGAGACAGATTCCCTTTGCGAAATTGGCGAAAAGCTCCCACATGTGCCAATTGGGTATACACCACGGCGTACGATCCCTGGTCCTCGATTATTTGACAGAATAAGCGGTGAGTGAGAGATAGTTTAAACGAGACATTTATCTTTAATGTATCATGACGTCTGAATCGTTGTTTTATTCTAAGAGTATGGAAGGATATCAGCCGGAAGATGTAAATTCTGCTTTTTTCTGTTTCTCCATATACTTTTGCTCCTTGGAATCTGTTTCATCATTGTACTTGTGTCGATGTATATCGTATTTGGGGTAAATGAAATTTACATCTGAGCTCCTGAATTTTGAAATTTATTTATTAACGTTAACAAAAATAAAATTCATCTGATTTAGCTAAAAATGGCAACACGTGATAAAGAGTCAATATGTCCATTCATCCCAATAGAAGACTCTGAAGTAAATGAGTTGTATATTGATCCAAACGAATTTTCATTCTTGAATGTCGAGACGAAGTCGGGTTACTTTACAGTGCGTACAATTAATTAAATTTTTTGTTTTACCAACTTTTTTCAAAACTTTAGAAATTCATAAATCTTTCTTTTTTATAACACAAAAAGCATCGAGAGGTGCGAATCTATCAATATGTCGTAAACTCTAACAATGACAACATCAATGTCACCAATATACAAATTGAGCTCCGATTAAACAAAAGTGGCCCAGAGCCGGTTGGCTATGAATTTACTTCCATAGGAAATACAAAAAATTTGAATTTGGTAATTTAGAAATTCAATTTTTGATTATCTGTGCAGTTATTTTTCCACAGAACAATAAAAGAATATTTAACTAGAAAATTAGACCATGGACAATGGAATTCTGGAAAAAGGATTTCTGGAAACCGAATCCATGTGGACGTGCGCGTATTGATATTCACATCCCTGTCTTCCAACAAAATAATGATATCAAAAATTCTACTATCACCGGTACAGAAAACAGGATTCCATCATTTTATTTTGACGAATGCAACGTAAATGTGATTCCACCAACATGGAACTATAATCTGAACGATGCAAATGCTTATCTGGCTTCATCGATAAATATCACTACAAAAAATGGCGACATTCAGTTATGGGTAATTAATTATTCAACACTAAACCTTTATTTCTTGCATTAATTGAATTTTTTCTGATATTAGGACCCAATGGTCGAATCAGCTTTACTAAAAACCTTGGAGAATGGTAACATTAAAGGATATGTTCGAAAAATTAGTGATTATTTGGTGGTAAACGCAACGTATGGTGATATCTCAGTAAATATTAATGAGGTTCCAAAGAACGATGGAAATAACTCATCGTCTAGCATAGAACTCTTTTCGAATACAGGCGATATTGTGGCATACCTGGTGAGCTTTGAAAGTTAATTCTCGATCTTTAATATCTCACTGCTAATAATAAAATTAATCTGCTATTCTAATGTAGAATAATTCATTTATTGGAGCATTCAATCTAACAGCCGGATTAGGCGACGTGGTATTTGTAAATTCAACTCAGTCCTCAATAATATTAAGCGGGCCAAATGTTTCCGCTGCCGGTTTTTTCAATAATACGACAGCATTCCCAGAAACCACCTCAAGTTTTAATAACGTTAATAAAAATGATAATGATAATGCTAACAGCAGTACTTTGAATGTATACGCTGGAAACAACGCAATGGTTCACTTTATAAAGGGGGGATATATTGCACTGCAAGCTTCTTCTTGTTCGGATCCTATTAAATACTCGGTGTCATTTGTGTTGGTAAGTCTTATTTTGGTTTTCTTTGTTGGATTGATAGGTTTGGATAGTTTGTTATACATGTAAAATATTGGTCCATGCCCATTTAATTTTTGTTGGATTTAGCAAATTTAATTGGACACATCCGATTTATTATACTTAAATATGCTGGCTGTTGCAAATTATTTTTATCAAAAAATTCTAATTTTATTTAGTATTTGAAGCAATATGCAGAATGATCATTTATTTCATTCCAAAATTGCTAATTGAATTGCTTCTTTTACAAGATAATTCCACATGTTCATAATTGCTTGACAGTTATCAATTGAACTAATTTTTTTTTCTTATTTCTGAGTTTGTATTTTCATTGTCTGATACTCACAATCATAATCAGTTGGATTAAGTCAAATGCTTCTATAGGATCGGATCGGATTGATTAGACCCTAATCCAATATGAAGTTTTGAATCAAAAGATCAATCCGATCTGTAATTTCAGATTAGAAAGTCGATTCAGATTTTCTAAAAGAAGTTTTAGATTATTTTTAGAATTAATAATTATAAATAATAAATTATGTTTTAAAATGAATTTTAATTTAAAATTGTCATAAATATTCAGAATTTTTAAATTTGTATATCAATGATATGATAAAGAATGAATAGAATTACTTATACTTTTTGAAAAAGAAAGTTACTTAAGATAAATTGATCTAATATCTTATTAAAAATATCATTAAATTATAAAAAACTAAAATAATTATAAATATAATTAACTTTATATCTATTAATTATGTAATGAAAAAAATGTCAGAATTCTATCAAAATTTATAATATATTTTTTATAATATAAAGAATAATATAAATTCAATTTTTATTAAATCTGACTTATTTTTTTATAATAAATTTTGCTAAGAAAAAAATGTAATAATAAATACTAATTAATTAAGCAAACTTGATTATAAATTATAAAGAAAATATTTAAATTATCAGATAATTTTAATAATTTTTCATTATTTTATATTATTATATTAAATTTTGAATATTTATAATAAATAATTATTATATATTATATTTTATATTAATAATTAATATTTTATAAATTATAATAAATATTTTTAAATATAATATTATATATTATTTTTCAAGATAGATTTATTCTTAGATTTCTTATAATAAGAATTGAAATATAATTAAATAAAAAATATAATATAAAAAAATTGTTAATTATAATTAATTAATAATTCAAAAATTCAAAAAGAATAATTATTACAAAAATATAATTATAAAAAGATATAATTATAAAGATATATATATATAATAATTCAAATAATTTAAAGTATTTATAATAATTAAGATTATTTAATTATAAATTATTATAAATAATTAAAATTATTAAATAATTATAATAATTAAATTATTTTGAAATAACTTTAAATTATTTATAAAATAAATAAATAATTTGATTATCTATTATTTTTATATATGGTGATCATCAAAAGTAATGCAATGCTTAAATTTTTTACTAATTATAATTAGTAAAAAATTTAAGCATTATATTACTTTTGATCATTATTGTATATTTAAAAATAAAAGTAATAGTAATAAATATTTTTATCTATATTTTAATAATAAAATATTTAAAAGATATAAAATTTTATAAATAAATTTTTAAAATATTCTAAAAAAATTAATTAATAATACAAAATATATTAGCTTAATAAAGTTTTATATTAATATGATAAATTAGATATTTATATGAAATAATTTTGAAAAATATTATTAAAAAATATTTTTAATAAGCGAATTTATAATTTATAAAAATATATTTTAAGATATAAAAAAATATATTTATAAATTTAAAATTTTTTATTATATATTTATTTAATAAATATCTTTTAAAAAAAGATTTTATTTTAATAATTTTGTAATAGTTATATTTTTTTAGTTTAAATCTTTATTTTATATTATATTTTATTTTTATATTACTATTTTTAAAGATTAATTTTATTTTAAATATACAAATAATTATTATATATTAAATTAATTTAATTTAAAATATATTATCATACAAATAATTATTATATATTATTTAATTATTATTTTTATTTTTAATTAATTATTTCTTTATAATTTTATTTATTTTTTTTATTATTATTTATTATATTATTAATTATTATTATATTATTAAATTAATTTTTAAAAAATATAATATAAGATTATTAATTTATTTAATTAATTAAAATCTATATATATTTTTAAATTATTAATTTATTTATATTTTATATTTATTTATTTTATAAAAATATATTATTATATTTTGTAAATTAAGTAAATTAATTTATAAATCTGAATATTATTTAAATAATAAAATTATAAGTATTTATAAATTGAAATTATTTACTTTAAATTTTATTTATTTATAATTATAAATAAATAATTTTATAACTTAATAATAATAAATATAATTATTATAATATTATTTATTATATCTTATATTATATTTATATTATAATATATTATTATTATAATAATATAAAATTTTTTAATTTCTTAATTTTTTCTTGATTATACAAAATTATATTTTCTTATAAATTTTATTTATTTTATAAATATTCCTATTTTTATATTATATATTACTATATTTATTAATATATTTTTATTTTTAAATATTATATTTTATTTATATTCAAAATCTATATTTTTATAATATGATATTCATATATATAATAAAATTATATAATAGAAAATTATTTTTAATTTTGGTAAAATAGTTAAACTTAAAATATTAATTACAAATATTTTTCTATATTCTTTGATATTTTTTTATATTTTTTTATATTTTTTAATATTTTTTTACATCTTTTAATATCTTTTCATATTTTTTAATATCTTTTCATATCTTTTAATATTCTTCTATATTTTTTAATATTTTCTAATATTCTTTGATATCTTTCAATATACTTTAATATATATATTTCTGATTATTTATATTATAATACTTTAATTATAATATATATATTAGATAGTATTAGTTAGTAATATTATAATAATTTTTGTATTTGAAAAATATAAAAAGATCTGCTATTTCAGCTTGGAATAAATAGTTTTGAATTGAATTATTTGAAAAATATAATTAAAAAACTTATTATTATAATAATAGAAATCTTTTTACAAGATTCTTTTTCTAATTATACTAATATTTTTTCTTTTACTTAGTTTTATTTTTTTGACTATACAAAGTTGATTTTGATTTTGAATTATAACATTATATTAATTTTTGTTTTTTGATATTATTTTAAGAGTAGAAGATTTTTATTATAAATAAACTATATTCTTTTTATTTTATTTGTTTTATTTTTAAGAGTAGAAGATCTTTATTATAAATAAGTTATATCCTTTATTATTTAGTTATTTAGTTTTTATTTTTATTTTTTTCTTAGTTATAGTCTTTTTTGATTAATAATTTTATTATTTAATCACTTCAAATCTTGAATTATATCAATTACTAGTGATTTCACTAAATTAATTTTTATAATTTCTTTAATTTAATTCTTTTTTTTATTATTTATTTTATCCTTTTTAAGACAATATCCATAGATATTGACACAAATCTTAGAAATCTTTATTATTATTGAAAGTATAGTCTAATTCCTTTCTTTTTATCTTTAATTATTTCAGTTTCTTCCAATTTAATATTATTAAGATAAATCCAAGTAAAAATTCACTTATCAGATTCACTATAATATATTTTTGATACCCTCTCTGTGAAGAAAAATCCTCTTTATATATTTTATTTTATTTATATCTTTTTTATTCTTTTTTATATTTCTTTTATATTTCTTTCTTTTGTTATCCATAATTGATAAATATTTAAGTCTTGAGTTTTTATGACCAATTATTATTTTTTATTAGACTATTCATTAATTATTATCTTAAGACACATCAAATTTCTAATTACTCTATTAGAATATCTATTTAAGACTTTTATCTCTATTATCATCTTCTTCAATCTCAAATTACTATATAATTTTATATATTTCATTTGCTTACTGAAAATATTAGAACAGTATTAATTAATCAAGTTATATATTTGTTATTTCAAGAATTAATTTAACTTGATCTTAATAAAATATATATTAGCTAATTAAAACAAAGAATAGTATAACTAGTAAATATCTTTATATTTGATTACATTAATACTCAAGAAAAATAACTTGACTTAATTAAATAGTTTTACTAATAGTTTATTTATCAAGACTTTATCTTTTAACTGAGAACTTCTTTTATTAATAATAATATTGATAGATATTATTCTAAAATCAAGAATTTAGAAGATACTCCTATTTCTCCAGTACAATCTATATTAATTCCAAAATTAGAAGAAAATAATAATTTTTCAGAATTTAAAAGAAGATAGTCAAATCAATTCAGAAGATAATAACCAATCAGAAGAAGAAGATAATCAAATATCTCAATTAAATAACTTGGATAATCTTATTCAAGTTCTTGAAGTACTTGCTGATCAAATAACTAATCAGAATATTTGGCTAATAGAAAAGATTATTATTTTTATCAAAAAATACTAAGAAAATGATCAAAATCTAATTAAATATCTAAAAGACTTTAATATTACTATATAAGCTGATAATATTATCAATATCAGAAAAGTATAACTATTTAGAGAATATCTAGAAGATGCTATTATCTTATGATATAATGAAAAAAAAGAGATGATATCATTCAATTAACTACTTAGAATAATAATTAAGATTAGTCACATAGTTTCAGTTATCAATTTGCAGCTTATTTCTATATCTAAGAAAGAATTAATTAATAGCAAGATGAAATTGAAATCTTATAATAAACTGATATTGTAAAAGAATATACAGATAAATTTATCAATCTATTTTGTAAAGT